TGGCTTGATACACACATCCCTTCAGATTCAGGGATAAACCATTCTGACGCCATAGGTGTCTCAAGTTAGCAAACGCGGCTCGAGCCTTGCAGATTCGTGCATTCACCTCATCTGTCACACTACAATCAGAACTAATACAACTTCCAAGATACGTAAAATGCTCCACAACTTCCAGTGCCTCTCCCTGGATTGTAAGTGGCGTGTTCAGTGACTGCACGTCCAGGAGCATGTTTAGTTATTTCCACAATAGTACATATTAACAGTCTCTTGGTGACATACTCACTGAATGAAGTCAAGACCTGTCCCGAATAGCTTATATGTTTACAAGAGCCGTAAAAATCACACCAATGAAGGAACGCGAGCGTCAGATTTCGTGTCTCCTTAATCTAAAGCAAAGTGATCACAGTTTCGCACTATCCAAGGACAGGCAGAAGAAATTCTGACTCATTTTCCCAGATTTGATACTGGCTTACAAGATATATGCAAACTCACAGATTAAGAGCTTCTGACTACCCACTACGTAGATTGATTAGGAATAGACAAACACACATGCGAGAGTCATCTGCAGTTTTAGTCAGAGAAGACGCACCGGTGTGCACCCTAACAAGGAGCTATGAACACCAGTAAAGTTATCAGTCTGATACCCATCAGCCATCCTGACTTCCGTTGTTATATCAGCCTACATCATCTTGATAAGCTGTCTTAATTTTTGCTTCCTACTGCATTTTATTCTTCGTGGAAACGTCTTTGAGAGAATGGCTTCTTCGAAACCGGACTTTATCGTAGCACGGTGATCATTGTAAACAGTGTCGTACGAAGTGAATTTCATATTGTCTCTGAGTGAAAGTCTACAGCTTTCTTTGGCGTCCGGATATCCGGATACCATTGCATAGCGATAACCGATATCCTTATAGCAGGATGAAACTCTGTGACAGTTACCAGTTTTCCTACGTAAGCTCACCAAGAACAAGTGCTTTCGCCACATTAATACGTTTGGATTTGAAATTTAAGCCTCCATTAAAGAAACGTACCTTTATGTATAACAATGGGGACAATTGTAATACTTATTAGTTGGAACTCGAGAAATAGCAGTGATCCATTCTACCCTTCGGGTGTATACTGACGACTCGTGATGTAGGCGTAGTACGCTATATTATGGACTCACTTTAGCCTAGCCATAAATAGTTCACTCGAGTGTGCATTAAAAAAAAACTCCCTGGGGTACTCGTCAGCTTGACACTCTGGTTCATTCTAATGTCTCCTCCCCGGAGAATGAATCAAGCAATGAAGAAAATTCATACTTATTCCCTCAGTGGAAATTCATTCTTCTGGAATAAAAGTATTTTCTCGGAAAAGATTGGTAGTCGCTGTGCAGTTAGCCATATTGGATTAATATGCCTCCGCCAGGATATACCGTATGGTTGACAATCCAGAGCGTTTCATCTCAAGCAAGTGGTAAGTCTTGAGGAGAAAAAATTGAAGGCTGATTCGCACATTCAAATACTCTTGAAATTCACCAAAGTGATGATTAGAAAGAGCGAATTTTTATTACCTCAGATGATTTTCCTTGAGAAATGAATGTTTAAATGTACAACGCAAACTGCCGTATTCAGTAATTCATTCCTGTTTTTTTAACTTGGATTGCACAGGCAAGAAAATTGTATCAATTCCACAGATTATCGCCAGTCTCCCACTCGGATGCTGTCCTTGATCTCCGATTCGACCACCATAGACGTGTCAACACCGCACACCTCAATATGTCAAACAGCTTACATAAGCCGGTGAACTGTTCCGAACCGAGATGAAAAAAAGAACATATTGGGAACTACCCACGATCTACCGCAAAAGTTGTCACTTGTAGCCTGGTTCTTGGTCATTCAAATGTACCTCCCCTATGATAAGTTTGCGCTCTTACCTTTCGTTGGCCGTTTTTTTCTTCCTACGAACACAGACGGGTGGTTGGGGAAAAATAAGTATGGTGACAAACGATATTAGTAAATCTATCTGGTGAAACTCTGCGGTTAGTGAATGTACGAAATGACGAAGAACAATCGTAACAGCGCAAACACTCGAATCCGCTAATTCAATGACAAATTTGCTCAAACTATGAGACCACACAACCTCATTCACAACCTTAATGACTGATACGGTGGACCAGGCCAGTCTGGGTTTGAACCGCAAGTACACAATTGTGAGGCAGTGTGACTTGTACTTTCTTGAAAGACAGATTTGCTCCGAATTTCTCGAGTGATACGATCCTCTTTAATCGGAAATGAACACCGAATCATCGTAGTTTGAGTATGTCTTAGAAATGGTACGATTTTGCAATAGCTTTTCCAGAAAGTTCATTCGGTTGTCATGTTTAACGTGGCCGGAGCCGAAGCGATAAGCAGAGTTTTACGATATCAGGGTAAGATATTCAGGCACGCGCAAAGTATTTTTGTTAAGCTGGTTCGTGTGAGCCTCTGGAGCTTCCGCTAAATTTTGAACTATGGCGCTTCTACTCACAAAATATCAGTAATCACTCTAAAAATGCATTCGGGAAACCCAGAAGGCCAGTCGCAAGGGAGCATCACTATGGCGTGTACTCTCCACGAGGGTTAATTCTTTGATTCATCATAATTTTCCCAGCTTACTGGAAACCGAGGAGTGTGTGGCCCTATGCATGAATACTTTTTGACACATTATTAATGTCCGTTGATGCGGTTATTTCCAACATCGAGTTTTGCTCATTTGATGGACCAGTTACCTTCCAGTGAATTTGTTGGTGAGCTTCGCCGAGTACTAACTCGATTTCTGAGCCAACCCCATCGAAAACTCTGATGACCCTCAGGGCAATTAGGTTATTAGAATCGTCATAACACAGGTGGATATCGAAAACCTTGAATAATTGTCATAGACAACACGCCACTCTGGTGGTCGCTTCCATCGTCTGTTCAGACAGATTCACTTTGCAAATTCTGCTTTCCTGGCCTCCCTAGGAAGAGTATGACACGGGAGTTGTAGCTTTACGTTCGGTTCGGTAAATGTTCCACCGAAAATTTACTAAAACTTGAAAGGTCCCGTATTTATATCCTGTGTTCATCAGTGTCATTCGGCAAAGTCACCACGAGGCCTGTGCACATGTTAATTTATGCAACGATCGCACAGCGAATGATACCAACAAAGAGGCAGTTTGGGTGAAAGCTTAGGATGGAGGTTTTTCATTGCGTTGTAAGGTGATACTCCACATTTGGTGAGTAGTACCAATGTCTCTGCAGATCACCAGTTACATAAATAAGGTTAAACAAGCTTTCAAAAATCCGGGTGAACTACTTACCCGTTGACGTTGCCATTGTAATGGCGATACTGCTGATGGGGGGCATGCGAGTAGTATGTTTCCTCGTAAATCCAGTTTACGTCTCTTGAAAAGTAAGAATTTGTGGAGTCGCTCTGTAGCATTTGCTTGCATTTGAGTGACAGTTCAGAGAAGTTCAGGAAGACGCGTTCAAGAAGGAGATGGATATTCAGTTTTTGTAAAAAAAAGTTGCATGTGATAATTTTACTCCCCTGTCCACTAATAGTCTGCAACTGTTCAGTTGGTATTTTCTAGTAAAAATAACTCCGCAGCAAATGCCTTCTTCCCTTCACCATGTGTCTCTCGGAGCAAGTGAGGAGGTTCGTCGTACGTTATCATACGTATAGTGAGAGTGAGTTATTCCCCTTGAAAGATTCTGTGGTTGGCCTACTCTAAGATTATTTCTTAGCAACCTAGTGAAGAATGTCTACTTTCAACTCGCTAGTGGAGTGGCCTGTCATCTGAGTATCTGTCTTTGGGAGGTTGTTGTATTTCTCGGACGAATCATAGTGCACTACTGTTGGGTGGGTCTTTTATCACCCAGTCAAAGTTCACATTCTCTATGTTGGATTTTTCAACTCCAGTTGTGCGACTGACTGTTGGCGAGGTGATGGGAACGAAACCACTGTGTTTCTAGACTGTTTTGTTCCAGATTTACTTAAGATAGATTACAGGAATAGCCCACCATCTACTACAAGCATTTTGTGAGTTAAATATTGACGTGTTTACTTTCCCGTCAGTAAAAAAGTATATTCCTAACAATCTTGACGTCCCAGTTGCCATCATCGCTCATGGGAAGTAAGAACCTTGAGGAACATACATCGAGGCGGATATCCCGTCTAAGGCCTGTTGGAACAGTGCCTCAGTCTTTCTTGCATAACATCATGTTTTTAGAGGATGAACACTCTGTTTCTGAAACGCCAAGTTAGGTAAAACTTTTCGCGCTCATCGGACTCCACAAATGAGTAAAGATTGCGTTGACGTGTGAACGGACATGGGACCACGAAGCAAACGGACATGTGTTGGACTTTGATCACGCGTTCACCAACAAATCTTGCACAAAAGCTGCCTGGACATAGGAGGCAGAAGACTCGTTACAAACGGACGTTCCCACGAGCTGAATATTGGCAAGTTTTTCGTAGAACTGGCTATCAACTTGGAAAGACACCCCGATCATTCACAAGTATCCTGGACGATTGGTCAATGCAGAAGCTGGCCTCAAGTAGATTTATATCCTTACATATTTTCGTCGATGAGTAGAACCATGATGCACCTCAAGTAAAAAAAACATATAACTCATCAATTCCGTAGATTGCGCTCCTACTCCAGGACGGGGACAGACAGTGAGCCTAGTCTGAGGGCTAAATGGAGAGCAGAATTAGCAGTGTAAAAGTATTTCATCAATCAAGTTTTACTGTATTGCAGTTTATTTCGGCGAACGTTTGTATTTATGTCCCGTAGAAATCCGAGCCATTTTGACTGTGCTTCTTCTCCTTTGGTGCAAACAAAGTTCGGAAACCAAGAGAGGGGATTGAATGTCCTCTTGAGCTTTGTGCACGCTGGATTTACTGGTCGGTCGTATGGACATCAAAGTTTTGGAGATATACAGTTCGCCAAGTTCTCCAAAGTGTTTGGTCTCCTACTGATTTTCACACGTGTTAAAATGGAGAACAAGCCTCAGTTGAAGCATTTTTGTTGTGGAAGTGTCCCAGTTCGTTTTTCTTGTTAGAAACAAATTATTCCCTTGTAAAAGGCAAAAGAATAATGGGCGAAACATGCTATACTCAAGGTTACTGAAATTTTTTCGGCAATCCACTATCAGTTTCGCTCTTCTTGAGGTCCATCGGGTAGGCGCGGTCGCAAACTGAAACAGCTGATGAACTCAGCTGGATTCACGTGAGTTCTCAGATGAAACTGAATTACTGTACAAATAAGTTTATGTCATGAATTGGGATACCTCAGGGTTATGCAATGACTTTATTACCTATTCATTCAAAATATCGTAAAATGTGTGTAAGGCTGTCGGATTTGCTTACCCACATCGTTCACAACAGTTATAAACCTCGTCTGATTGGCACATACACATTCATTTTCGTACAGTCGTCAAACCCGCAGCCCACAACGGTTCTCCGTCGGCTTGAATTACAACGAACATCAAGTTAAAGGCGTCTTCTTGGTTGAAAAATTACATTTTTTTAACTTCACTTGGCACAAGACAAACGAATAAAGCCATGTGAAAGTACAATTAAAATCATTATTGGTTTCGTAATGCACTACTCATAGGGTTGCTAAAAACTCCTCGACAACTTTATGAGTAGTGCATTACAAAATATATATGTATCACGATATCTCGATTATAGTGGCGATTGAAACATTAGGCGTCCTGGTGCAACACACTCGGTGGCCTGGAAACATCAAAACCGCGAGATTCAGCTGGGTTCCAGGTGAGTCTCTCGAAACACCAAATTAGTTTGGAAACGAGTGCATATTCACTATTGATTTCGTTTGCTGTCCCGAAAATGTCGACTGCCACTCATGTGAGTCACCGACGATAAAGCATCAATACACGTCATTAGGCCGTTTAGGTTCACCCTTCGAATCATCGAACTGAGAACGGCGTTACTCAGTCGAAATTCACGTGCACCCCAACCCCACTTGCTTGTTTAGGGAACTAGTGTCGAACATGGACACGCAGCATACACACATATACTGTTCCCATCCTGAGGTCAGCAAGGAGTTCTGCCTTAGAAATCGACGAACCCTGTAAATGTCGAATCTAACGCGTGGGTTTTTGGGTTAAAGGCAGAACATGTCCCAACATTAACACGTGTCAAGTGTTTTCTGAGCTAACCTGAGTTCGAATAGTCTTCGTTTCCTGCTCAACACACTTTGTGCCTGCCCGTACTCAGCGCCAGACTGGCTTTTAGTTCTTGAAACCGACTGTGTGAAAAAATCGTTCAGCTGTAGCACCCTTTGGGTGCCTAACAGTCATGCCACCCGAAGGAAGCATGAGGGCTGGGATACTGCCAGGATGCCCAAGGCTAAACGGAGAAGTCGAGAGGCAAAGGTCCGGTTCGACCCATGAACTTTCCGGTCAGTAAAATTGCGCTCTTACCACTGAGCCATCCCGCCCGCAGGTTGTATGACCAGCTTATTACAGTCCCCCCACACACTCACTCAAAACTAGTGGAAGCTTTCTTCATTAATTTCTTTCTAAATTTTGAGGCTCTTCTTCAATCCTTCCGTTTTTCCCTCACCGGACGCCTCTCTTTTTCCGCCTCCCCCAGGAGTCCAAAACTCAAATATTGGTTACATCACGGAGTGGATTTTCCCAAGCCACTAACACTACGATCTTTAAGTACAGTATTAGGACCTTGGTTGAAATACAAAAGTGAGGAAATTGTAGGTCGCTATCTTATTTTACACGGCAGTGTGGACTGATCTAAAAAGCGCGCTGGGTTTTGGGCAGTATAGCTTCTACTTATTTTATTGACATTAATTTTTGAATTTCTTCAATTTCGGGTGATACAAAAACGATCCTCTATCAAAAGACACTAGCATCAGGTGTTTTTCCTACGGAAAATTTCACTCTGAAAAAGCAGTATAAGTGTAGTTCCTTGGCATTGGACTACTTATATGTGAGGTGAAAGCTCCTCGGCAGTCCACAACGGGTTTCCCTGTTCTTGAGGCTCACCGGGAATCCGCCTAACGTATCCTCTACTTGAATACAGAATTGTACACAAGTGTCGAAATAAGCCCGTTTTAAGGCTCGTTGGTGCAAAAGGGGATTCCCTTTCGTCCTGGCTGCTTCTGTGTCTAGGAAATGTACTTCAATGTATCGAGGGGCGCTTCAACTGAAGCGTGAAACAACCTTTTCTCAACACAGTCAGTTGATGAATATCACAAAGGAGATATTCATCGGGGATTTGATTGAACCAACCCAACTAGATTCGCATACGAGCGTACTTCGTTGTCATTAAAATATCACGTATTTTACAAAGCAGGGATGTTGCTTCCTTTCGCATTTCCCACCTTAGTTATTTTCACGGCTGATGAAAATTGTGCCTTGATGTGTCAATCAAGCCGAACGTATCAAGCGTCAAGGTATTCTGGGAAAATCCCAGTGACCTCACCCGTCTAACACGTGAATGCCTGACAAATCTGACAAAGGCACGTTCTAGGATGATGTTTCCTGCGGGATGGGGTGAAAAAGTCATTCCTGTTTCTTCTTCGACAAAACCAAACACCATTGAGTTTCGCTTAATGCATTCGCCGTCCAGCCATCAGTGTCCTAACTATGAAACATCAAGGCTTACGACTTCTCCGAAGGGAATATCTTTGATACCGACAGACAAGTTGACGAAAACTCGTCAAAAGCTGACTGCCCGCTTTTATTCCATATATGTCCAATGAGGTACCAAGTAGGAAAACCCACGAGTGAAAAATTTGTAAATTATGCCTACCTGGTTAATCATCAAGGAGCAAAACGAGTGGCGCTTGCTACCCGTTTTTCATCAGCCATGAGGGAAGTGTGGCATCTCGCGTGTTAACTCACTTATTCACATGAACAAAATAGGATATTTTCTTCGTTTAGGGCGATGAATACTTGTTTCCAGCTAAGGTTCATTCGAGTCCGCAGTTCACATCCTCCCAATTTACGAGTATATCCAACCTCACGGAACGTCTTTTATTTGTGGACAAATACAGAGGTATCACTCTTAGATCTGAAAGCAGAAGTATGTCAGAGGAATGCTCTCATAAGCGGTGTCTCTCCACAGTAGTTCTGTTTAACTCACTAGAGGGTACCCAGAAACTCATCGTGGTTGAGAATTGGCAAATTAATCGTGATATAAAAGACGAACATTCATCAAGCGGTAAATTTCGGAGAGGAACCTTGGACATGTGAACAACTTCTCAGAAAAAGTAACGACAAAGCTAAGACTTGGGTGAGTGTTGAAAGAACTTGTCGCGTGCATTTTTCGTCTTTTGAAATGCGTCTTTTGAAATGCAATCAGCTGATTGTAAATTTGTCACCGCCACTATTCTCAGTTCTCCACTTCAATTCTACTCTTGTTAGATTAAATGTTTTGGAATTCGGTTTACTCTTTCAGTCTCAATTCAACACTTTATCGTGAGAGAGAAGTTATCCTCATGAATTTGTAGGGCTGTTCGAACCAGCAGTCAGTGGTTCGGACCATCCGATGAAGGCTGCCTGGTGAATTATGTAACTGAATGACACTTATGACCGAGCTACTCACCAAACGTCCACGCTATTCAAATCAATTTGTCATTGGTTGACTGATTCCATGACTGATGACCCCTCAGATCAAAGTGTCACATTACTTGTGACGCTGTTGTCCTTTCCGAGTAGCCCACCCTCAATCTTCATGGATTTAATCGGCTTCTGTGACAACTCAGTCTGAGATAAAACAATGGTTTTCCGACTTGGAACTATACTAACAAAAGAAAAAAATATTGAAAACACTGCACGACAGTGGAAAAAGTGACAGGTAACGAGTGAGGATTAATATCAAATTTCTTCAGTTCCCAAATGTGAGGATGAGAGTCCACAACTACTAATCTGCCACAGATCACCTGTTGTTGTGGGGGGTTGAAATCCAACACTTTGAGAAGGATATGCAAGTAGTCACCCGAGTTTTCTACCCTGTTTAAGCGGGGAAATCCTGGAAGTCGATTTTATAGTCTAAGCCGCAAACACCATGTGGTGCACTTTTTTCAGTCGCGCTGCGTAAATTTTCCTGGAGTTTGTTGTCCGGACCAAGGGTCGTATCAATCTAGTAAAACATTCATCGACAGCGCACGACCGGTTTCGCCCTTCTTGGGGCTCATCAGGTAGGCGCAGTCTCCGGGTTTCCGTCAACCTTATGTTCTACTTGAAACCAAATTACAAATATACATGTATCGCGATATTTCAAATATCGTAGCGACTGAAACATGAGGCGGCCTGGTGCAGCACATTCAGTTGCCTGAGAACATCATAAACGAGAGATTCAGCTGGGTTCCAGGTGAGTCTCTCGAAAGAACCAAATTAGTTTGCAGATGAGTGTATATTCGCTAGTGCAACATTGTTCAGCAGATCCTGAGACTGCACAGCCACATATTAGACAATACACAAGGACACACCTTCAATTTATGAACCAACTGAAAGATTTCAGACAATATTTGAGTAGTGCTAGTGAGATCAATTGAAAAATTAGATAGCTCATTATCAGTTCTGCGCTTCGTGGGGCACATTAGGTACAAACAGTCCCCAGATTTACATCAAACGCATTTCGTGTCCCTTAGGTTCTCTTGGAAAAGATTATTTTAGGGACAAACAGTCCATACACTTGAAGAACACTGTTCTGCTCAAACGGTAGACCTCACCGAATCCGACGAACTGAGCGGCCTAAAATATGCGATGAAAGTAAAAGAACCAAGAAATTACAAACACAGCTCTCTGCAAATATCCACGTCAGTAGGATATTTGCAAAAACCTGGCCTGAAAATGTCCGCAACAAAGAACTAGGTCAGCTGCATTTCAAGTCCAAACAAACCGTCACCGCCAGTTGTGCGGTCGGCACGGCCAGCAAACGATTTCTCAATATTTCCACAACCTCATCTCTTGAAAGAAGCATCCATTCTTCGATTTCTAATGACTATGATTATAACAGATTGACAATTCTTTTAACGAGTGCATCATTATATGAGAGATAACTGAGTCTTTTTTCTGACTGCTTTTTATGTTGTGAGTTTTCCCGTTACCAGCCGCTAGTCTCAAATTCCTGCCTGTCTGTTTGTATTCCCATCTGAAACGACGAAAGAGTTGCCATACAAAGAGTTGTAAACGCCTGAGATCCAACATCACAAATCTCCCTGAGGCAGGCCACACACAGTATTTTCCCTTCCGTAGGCCGTACTACTTCACCGTGAGTTGGACTTATATGCACGAGCATATTTATGGAAGTGAGTTTGAAATCTTGAACAGCTTAAACAGCTGTCTGTTTTTCACACCAGGTTTTCGATTGTGTCCTGAAAGAACTCGTCAAAAGTCACTGCAAAATATACGGATGGAGCTGTATTAACTTCGCGCAGTGTATATCATATAAAAGTCTAGATGTCCGGCCAGTCTTTCTGTCACATTTATGGTCTGATTTTTGATTTTTTTTTTGTGTTTTGTCTCCACCTTATCCCGATCCTCAGGTGGGAAGCTCACCATCAGCGGCTAATTTGTACGCAGTTGAAAGCCAATTGAGCAACTACATCTCGGTGAAGTCATGCTTAGGAATGGCCATCATTCATCGGGTGTCAGGAAACGGTGACTGACTGGCAAGCGGAGACATGCTTGGATCGAGCAACTGTAACAACGGTGGAAGGTGGTGTGGAACTGGACGTCTGATTGGCCAAAAACAAAGTAGATAGCCAATCAGAACAGAGGACGATCCAGCCACTTGGACAACGCATGAACACAAAGGTGACATCCAACCTGGATTTGGGTTCAGTCACACAACGACGAAAAGTTGGAAGTGCACGGAAATGGAGAACGGCTAGATTTTACCACCCCATGATGTCGGAAATTAATCTTCGCCTGAACAGCAACGTTAAAGGCAAACTGTGGAAGATGATTTGGTCACTGTTATTCTTTTGCGTGATATCGGGAAACTGTGTTGTGCACTCCACCTTTCCTAATAGCACGGAACCGAATCGGAGGGAAGGGAAAGTATGGGCTGTTTTGCCGGACGATGGCCCATCGTTTGGTCATGGATTATCCAAAGTACATGTTGCACAGGCATCAACACCTGTGAAGAAGTTCAACTCTACCAACGGCAGACGGTCGAAATTCCGTCGAGAGGTGGTCCGGATGCCAAGATTCTACCGACACAGAAGTGATCTCACCAGCACCGGGATAGTTATGTCCCGACACACACCAAATCAGTGGTTGGATTCATCGTATGATCTGCGTTACGGCTGTCCACCAGGGTGTCGATGCAGATATTTGGAAGTTGAATGCAGGCAGATGCAGCTTCAAAGTGTACCGAGGGGGATCCCACTTTCCACAGAGAAACTGTGAGTTCTTTGTTCAAGACTAATCACTAGGATGCACACGGTTACAAACAAACTCAGCTCTCTTATTAAGAAATTTACCATCAAATTTAGATAAAACTCCGCGCACAAACACAATATCGTTGGAGGGTTCGTTTGTTTGTTAATTTTAGAAGCTGATGCATCAAACAGTTGTCTTGATGTTCAAACTGAAGATACCACAGAGATTCTTTGTTTTACGTATAATTATTAGTTAGCTTTAGAGACTTGCGTTTGTTCTATCATAACTTAGGACTTCTCTGAGTAGAATGGTCTGGACTTGTGTGAATAGTGACCAAACGCCACTCGATGATGAGCCAGTTACTTTTGGAGACAACCAAGCGTCCAAGAAGGCAAGGAGTAACCAGAAACAGTGGTAAGGTTGCGGAAGGAAAAACTTAGAAAGTTCAAGGTTTTTCGTTCTTTCGCATGATTATCTCAAGGTATTTTCTGGCCGTCGAACAAGGATGTGCAACGATGAAACGATGAAGGTGATGCCTAAACGTAACACGTCGCTCAGAAGGTTGTGGTAAAAAAAATAATTTTTTTATTATTTTTTTTAGAAGGTTGTTGGAAAATCTTCGATGGTGAACTTATAAGTAGTGGGTTTCGTCTAGAATAGGTACTGCGGCATCTCGAATATCGTAACGGGTGAAAAAGGAGCCGCCTTTGTACAGCTTATTCAGTTGAAGACGATTTTAAACAAGAGATTCGACTGGATTCAGTCGAGTCCACCGTCAAAATCAAATTCATACGCAAATGAAAGATTTAGCTTACTGCTTCCAATTTTGGCCCAAGTAGAACAAAAGGCTGAAGTAAACTCAGGGACTGCGCCTACCTGATAAGGCTAAATAAGAGCGTAATCAGTAGTGTGGTGTCAAAACCTATGAGTGGTATGTTACGTCAGACCAAGCAACATCTCGAATATCGTAGCTTCTTGCAATACATTCACTTGAAGGCCATGCTAAACAAAAGATTTGGCTGAGTATCCTGTCAAAACCCTATCTGAATGCAAACACGTGTAACTGTTTGCAGCACCATCCAGTTGTTTCCAACCTTGGAAACGTACCACACGATAAATTTGTAAATGGACGACTTAGCTGGTCGGACAACCAGTTGATCGGACCATCGGTGTTATGATTTGTCTGTTTGTATACCAAGAGTGACCCCATTTGTAAGTCATATGTTCTCGTGTCGATAATTCTCGACGGTAAAAGCTGTCTACACCGACCACCAAAGAAGCTGACCGGGGTCACTCAGTCAATAGCTGTGGAAGCTGTGTTTCTAATTCTCTACTCGTTCACAAATCGGGGCGCATTCTAACACATTGTTTGCGTTCAGTGTCTTTGGTGCAGTAAAGATCTTCTTTAGAGGTTGCACATGGGAATTTGAGGACGGATTCCAATTAATGCCAAAAGTAGGCGGTACGAAGAGGTGGCAGTTGCAGAAAAGTATGAGGATGGGACATCTTTCTGCATTGTCACGATAATTACGGAAAAAATACTGCAAATATGGTTTGTGGATATACATCGAATTTGCGCAACAGTAGTGCAAAGGGCCAAAATCCTAATTTCCTACAGGTGGCTGGCAGTAGCTTTGACTAACCCAGCGCTCTATTTAAAACTAAGGGAGGAAGAGCATTTCACTTAGTATTCTGGGTTTTAATTTCATCTTTGTCGCAACATTGTTTCTTGAAGGACACGAAAGAAGATCTCTCTTAGAAACGTTCTTAATGCGGCTGAATAGAACAAAACCTTATCATTTCTAATGGCCCTACTCCAAACAGTATGGTCTGAAGGCCCACAATCCTGGTTCTCAGGAATACCCAGATATGTTTTCTCTGTTAATTCTTTCTCAAATCAGGCAATGAAATGGCTACTGTTTTATCGCTGTCCAATTTTACACATGGGTTTAATAAAATGAAAGATTGAAAGTTCTTTTTTTCAGTCCCTTGACGGGAAGGCATCTGTGTCACGCTTACTCTGCCATCAACTAAATCCAGCAAGCTTGTCTACGCAGCCCCAAGAGGCAGTCCAAGTCAGCCACTCTTGTCAATGAACTGCATATACTTGTGATTGGAACACCAAATGGGAGCACAAATCTATCCGCACGTACATAAAATTATAGTATTAATGAGGACACATAAGTGTGATTTTGAAACTTGTGAATATGGGTGACTGATCAGGAGTTAGTTAACAGCAGAAAGCAGATAGAATGGCCTGAAGGACCACTTCAAAAATTATAGTTAACTTAAAATATCACACACCTCGTATATTTGAAACAGAAATAGTTATTTTGATGACAGTTTCACCGACACGAAAATGCAGACATCCCCAACAAAAACGGAACTTTGGGAGTACCAGAGTCCCACTATCGAAGAGAGCTCTCACCGAGGTAATAACGGTATTTGAAGGGAGAAAGGCGATTCACAACCCTCGCTCGGAATATCCTCACATATTGTTATTCCACACCGGACTATCGACTCAATTGTATGATGTAATCACCCACCCGAAGGTGTGATAAGGACAAATGCACTCATTTCGTCTCCACACAAGGTGCACCCGACATCCAGCTGAATCTCTCGTTTGTGGTGTTCTTCTTCATCTGAATGTGCTGCACCAGACCGACTCATGTTTCACTTGGCATGCAAAATTTTTAAGTAAACTTATTGGTAGTGTGTCACGTCTGTACGAGTAATAAGGTCATTTGCCGGATCTTTCTGCGAACGCTCTGACGACCTCCACATACCGCCTAAGTTCCAAGGTTGAGAAATAAATAAGAGAGTGCCCCAAGTAGGCTGGTACTGTGGGCAACATGTCCTACCAGTCCGATAAGCAGGCTAGTTCCGTTGGGTTTTGTTAAGTGGCAATACTCAAGAATGGTGGTCTGGGTACAGGCAGCACATAAAGTTGGTATAAACTCGAGGACTGCACCTACCTGATGAACCCAAAGAAGAGCAGAAGCGGTTGTGAGCTGTCGAAGAGTTTACAGTAGAGTGTTAAGTAGTAACATTCAGGAGAAGAATGCAGACGCCTCTTCTGAAGGAGCGTCATCAAGAAAAGAAATTCGCCTTATTCTGGCAGCAAGTTTCAGATTGAAACCCGAGTAACTTTAATGGCTTGTTCAGCGTAATCTCAGATCTCACAAATTGGAATACTTTGCGAGAGCTTTTGTGAAGACTAAATGAGCTAGGGCTCAAATACCGTCGGTTAGGTAATCACATCTCTTGGAGTTATTCATATTCATAAACTAACATCCTGGTTCCGCCAAAAACTCCAAGTTACGTACTAATATGGTTTAACGAATGACGCAATTGAATCAGAGCTAAATTCCTCCTTTGTGATACTCTTCGAGTTGTTGTGTTCAATTTGGTATGATATTCGAGATTTCGGAGTACATGTTCTGGTGGAAACATGTTACTCATAAAACTACTGAAATCTGCTTGTTAGTGCACCACCGATTTGCTCTTCTTGGGTCCCATCAGATAAACACAGTCCGGGAGTTTACGTTAACGTGATGTTTCTCTTGAACCCAGATTGTACAGGGTTCACCGAATACACTCATTTGCACACCGATTTAGTTTCAATAACAGACTCAACTGAACCTCTCGTTTATGAGGATAACTCTAAGGGGGGAACCGGTGGTGGACTGTCGAAAGTTTTCAGCAACCTTGTGAGTAGTTTCCAGAAATCCGAATCGTTTTCCTGTTGTTTCAATTCAAGATGCACTAGTCTAATTGCTTTCATTGTCTGAACTACTGAGTAGTATCAGATGTGTTTTTCGTGGGTAGATTAATACCAGTAGCTTATAGACTAGGAACTGGATAAGCAAAACTATATTGTCCTCGCAGTGAACGCTCGGCCTTAGGTTCGCAAATTTCCTGTCTTACCGGTAAAAAAATCAGCTACTTATCCAAGCTAAGTGACATCGGTTTATGATGTTAAAAACACGATGAACCCCGGCGTTCACGTGCGGACTAAAAGACACACCGAGTTTAAATGTTGAAAATCGTTCCTACCAATATTTCAACTACTTTCAGATGGTTAACTCAATTTGGTCACAAACACCGTAACTACTAAACAGTTATCACATCATGGAAAAACAAGTTTCACGGACTGGTGACAACAGCGTTCCCACTCAGCCCAAATTTACTGTCAGATCCTTCTGCCACGGTAAGGCCACTTCCAAAAGTAGCCGGACGGAATCTAGCGCATATATATATATATATATATATATATATATAAATTTATACTATAAAGCATTCTACCACTCTAGTTATTATGGTCAAGTACATTTGATTAGTGCGATGTTTAGTCCTAAGCCCTGAGTAACCAGTGAGCAGGACTTTGTTGTTTCATATTAAGTCGATAGACTACTGCCAACTTTCAATAAGCTGAATACCTGAAGGTTCTATCGAAACTATCGTGTGCGCACATTAACAGTCATAAAAATCCGTACAGGGAGAGATATTTGAGAAAAGTACACACAAGGTTGCTGAAAGCTCTTCAACAGAGCACGACTGGTTTTCTTGAGGCTCATCAGGTAGACAGTGCCCCGAGTTCCAGTCAACCTGATGTTATATTTCAACCCAAATTGAGAACTAAGCCAACCTGATGATGAATGATAAATAAATGAACGATTCAGAAAGGCTGTCAACCTTGAAAGTGATGGACCAATGAACTGTTTCATAGAAACCATTTCACCGAATATGATATGAATACAATGGGATAAGCCAGTTCTGCAGCCAACAGAAGCCGGCTCTCAAACTCTAGATCCATTTTATCTAATCGACGACAACCCGCTATGCAATGGAGAGAACGAACTGTCAAACAACGCAGTAAGTTCTATGTCAGGACGACTGGAGTTTATTTATCTTAGTATCATACCTAATGGTGGATAAAACGTGGACTAAACAAGTCTATTTTTCTGACATAGGATGGACAAACATCACCTTGAAATGCGAGAAAGATTACCATGTTTTAGTC